CGAATCCGTGCAAACATCTACTGGTGCGCCCTCGCTGACGGTTTTCTTCGTATGCGATTGCATTACCCTTCTTTTCCGTCCAATTATCGTAACTGGACGGTGCCTTTCCTCTTCCTGTGTCGTGGCTTATTACAATATTATGCAAACACGTTGCCGCGGTGTCTCATTAGATGGCCACGATGATCAGCCTAATGGCACGCCTTTGAACGTCGTTCTTTCTACCGTAGGAGGGAGCAAATACATTTTCCGCGGCTTTGTGATCCCAGACTCCTCTCCTCTTCGTCGCTCCGGTCTGCTCGAAGCCTGCCTCGGTCCCATTTAATCAGCATAACCGAGAGGCATCGTTCCATTCATGATCTCCGCGGCCATCTCCACGTTCTGATAAGATCATCTCCGTTTCTGCGTTTCCAGCGGACTCGCCAGCCTCCATCTTGCGCAAAACAAATGCATCGAAGAAAACTGGTAATGTTGGTTGCTGGATTTCCTTGATACTGGCTTGTTTTCATTCATTTCCTACCTGTCTAAAGCTCAACAAATTTCCTCGCTTTTAATTGCCGAACATACCATTTCGTTCAATTAATTTTCGACGTATAAATTCCAAAACAAAATACGATAAGATCATCGCTTTCTGTATCGATATTTTCCTTTAGCAATTTTTGTCTCATATTTTCAATTACTTCAATGGCTCGTTATACAAAATGTAGATGCCTTGGCCTTGTTTGAAACAAAATATAACGCTCCCTGTGTCAATATCTTCTCACCCCTTATTAATTTTTCTTTCGAATTTTGAATGACTTCAATGGCTCGTCATGTAGACTGGACTAGCTTCCTGGATCACCGACTCGTGAAGTCTCTGAATTCTGGGATTGTCGAATTCTGAGATCCCAGCTACTTGAATCCGCGATTCCCCCCTTCCACCCTCAAAAAATGAAACATTGAAGTAATCAACCAAGAGACACCCCGAACAGTACTCGTACTCTCTCCAAGTATCCATCACCGAAAACACGACCTATTCTCCATAAAATTTCCTTAACCGCGCAATGGTCTCTAACGCATCGGTAGAAAGGGAACGAGAACGAACGAGACGTCTATCGCGCGAGGAGGAGGTGGAGGAGGAAGAAAAAGGTCGGTCAGAGGGAGAACGAAACGGAAAGTGAACCGCCACGTCTGGCCTGGTGTGGGTGTACACATCTCCGTGTGTACCTGGGACTCGCACTGTGTACCTGGTGCGCGTACTCTCGACTCCGTGTTCGTGTCCGTGTACTCCCTCGTTCGCTTCCTCCCCCGTGCTCCCCTGGTCCCTTTCTCCGTTCCCTGTGTTCGCGGCCTGCCAGCAGAGACGCTGGCGCCTGCGGCGATTGCACACGGCACAGGTGTCCGTCCGCATTATGCCTCGCGTACGGTACAGTGACGTCGCCGCCGCGAACACCGAGCGACATTGTAATTTGTAAATTACATCTCTCGCGGGCCGAGAGGAGTGGGGGAGATCCCAGGACTGTTCCACGAGAACCCCCTCGACCCCTGCAGCCCCCGACGCGGCTAACTTAATGAACCACCGCGCCGCGTGTTTGCATAACGTTGTAATAACACGTGACGCCCGCTGCCTTCCGGTTATGATAATGGCCAGCGAGGACGGGGGCGAGGGAACGAGCCGGACGACTGACAGATCGGGTGGAAACGCAGAAACCGAGGTGATATTATCGGGGAGGGAATGCGAAGATGGTCGAAGGCATCGTGAACGGGACGGTTGCTTTGAGCTGATCTGACGTGGTATGGGGGTTGAGTTTGACGTGGAACTCGGGGTGAGATACTTTAGGGGATGAAGGATTTTTTAAAATTAAAGTTGGGGTATAGGATGCTTTCATGTTGCCTTAATTTTTTTGAAGAATGCCTGGGAAGTTCCTAATGGTTCGATCATCTGGTCGACAAATGTCACAGGACACAGAAATCTTCGGGAATCCAAAGATTTCAGATTTCACGTGTTTTTGATCTGAGGATTCCAAGACTAATACGAATACTATCCATATCAAGAAATATTCTTCGTTCTACTCTATTCATCTGAATCAACAACGAAAGTTCGCGCGAAATTAGTCCACCACGGTTGAACCTATCGACAAAAAAAAATGCAGCTTCGAATCGGACGGGCGTGCGGCCGCGATCTCGAGCGCTGCCACGATGAAAATGAATTATGCGCACTGCCAGGTTATCGGCGTTTATGTCGCGCCGTAAATCGGTCCTGACACCTCGCGGAATGAAATCAGTGGTTGTCAGAGCGGAGCGCGTTGCCTCGGCCCCGAGCCGATACTTTCCGCGGCGCGATTTCGCAAACCGCGGCCCGTTCGGGGCTGACAGGTGTCTCTTACTTAATAATCATCGTGACTCCGTCGATGTATCCGCAATTATGCCTACGCGCGATCGTTGCGAATTTACCGCCGACGTGATACCCGCCCCTGCCATGCCGCAAAAATACACGGCGTAAATCACGCCGGGACCGAATTATTACCTGCTGAACGACAGGGGGGGGGGGAGGATTGGAGAGGGTAGATCGAAACTTGGAAAGGTTTTACATTTGTGAACACTGGGTGTGTAGATATATCGGGTTGGATGTAAGCAAAAGTTCGGTATTTTGTCTGGGACGCTCTACTGGCGATGTCTGACCAGTGACGGTTCCGTTGACCTATTCTACTTGCGCGACTGATCTTCTCCTGGCTCCCGACGGCTCCCGACTCTGGGATCTCCGGAGTCTGGAATTTGTAGATCCTCTTAGGTATGAAAATACACGCTAATTGATAAAGAGTGTGACGTCAGAGATGACTTGGAAGTTCCAAGGAAAAGTAGACTCGCCAGAAGTGACCTCATAACGCAAAGGGTTAAAGGATCGATAAAAATCAATTTTTCTGTTAACTAACTGCCTTTCATACGTTCGAATTCCTACACACACGGGATAAAGAAACACTACATTGACAAACTACAATCCAGATTACCCCCCGCGCGTACAGTGCGTTCGCATTCCACGCAATGCGAAATGATTTAGCGGTCGTCGAACGGAAAGCGGCACAGTCACCGAGGTGTAATTGAAATGTTATTAAATGTTAACTGTCCCTTCGGGTGCGCAACGACTCGGTCGTAACGCCGGCTGGTGCCGGTTATAAATAATCATTACCGCGAAAATTTACGACTATCTCTCGCCTCGATGGAATTTTTCTCTCCTCTCTGCTGTTTAATATCGCAACCATCGTATTTGCACATAAACGCGGAGAACAATGCAACTCTCAAGGGTTAGCTGCCGTGGAAAGGTGGGCCCTGATCTCTACCACGCCTAGGTGGGAGTCGACCTTATCCCAGGCGAGAAAAACCTCGTTTCGAATCGCCTGGGCGCGGGAGCCGCGGCGTTACACTTCAGGAGCGCGTTCTATCACTAACGAACGTCGAGAAATTGTGAAACGGGTGCAGCCAGGTCACTGAAACTCCTAATTTACTGTTCGGGAATAAGTAGAGCCTGAGTTTAGAGTAGTATGTACTAAAAAATGCTTCTGAACATCCCAAAAGCTAGGCTATTATCTACATCGTATTCTTCAACTAGCAAGAGCTACCAAAAGCTTAGAAGCAATCGCGCTAAGAAACTTCCTACGTTCCTTCCCAACTTGCACACGCATTTTCCCAGAGTTCAACGCATGAGCAAACGTCCAAGGCCTCTCGCTACGAGCGCCCGCGAGTCGACAAACACAGAGACCAGTCTGCAGACATCCCAGCCTGGCTGGTTTCCCAATTTCACTTCGCCCCCGCAACGATGAACCTGTTCCTCGCCTTGAAACGACTCGTTTCAGGAAAGTCCACGCCGTGGCGACCCGGTTTCGCTGCGCCCTAGGTTATTATTCAACAAATTATCGCTCCCTCGTCCTTCGAGGATGTTTCGAAACGTATCCACTCGGCTTATCTCTCATCGAGGACTTTCTTCGAGGTGGATCGCAATCTCGCCCCGTGGTACACAGATACCCCTGCTAGACGCCTTCAGAATCTCGGCGCGGCTCGTATCAGCAACGTTCATCTGGCAACAGAGCCTAGGTATCGCTAATACACAGGCTCATTTAGATTTATGCACCGGGAGCGCGACACATTCCGCACCGACGCGGACGGGAACGAATCCTTCACGTACATCGCGAGAATACGTCTAGCGGTCCTCTACAGGGTGTACTGGAAAACGTTGATCCTCGGACATGGACGGTGTCTCGTCGAGGTACACGTCTCGCTGGCGATAACTAAGGGTGTCGCAGCGACGGAACGTTCGGGAGACAAATTTATCTTCCACCTGAACGCGCCGGTGCTAGATAAGTCGGTCTGTGGTACACCTGCGTGTATTAGTGAGTCATTGGTGGCAGGAGGTAATGCAAACGAGGGAATGCATGGACTCCTCGGTGTCGGAGACCCGGGCGAAATTCTTAAGTATAGTCTTGCTGCGAGAGGGTCGCCTCAGGGGACGCCCGAAAATGCGTCACTCGATGAAAATTAAAGGCTGGCGGACCGGACTTGCTTCATTGATCCTAAAGAGGCCATGGGCTGAGGTAATGAGGTAGGTAGCGAGATAGAATGGCTGTCTGGCCTGCAATTTTAAAAGGGTGACGTTTTCTGAGAAAGTGATGTATTTTTATTCTTTTAAGGTCCTTGACACTTGAGTTTGAAGTAACCGATTCGAACAAGTTCAGACTAGGAAGTATGAATAATAAGGTGCTACCAAGAAATTCTCGAAGTAGAACCTCTACAGTTGCACGTAAACACTTTCAAACGAAAGCTCCGCTAAGCAATCACCCGTCCATTTATGGACACAGTGCAGAGGACAAAGCTCGCCTGCAAGCATCGAGGTTCTACTTCAGTAAACAAATTTCGGATAACTCGATGCAAAATTGATGAATATACAACTTTGATACGAGACAAAGCACCTAGTCGATCGATCGATAGTTTGGCCTCAAAGACAAGTGCCCTTTGTTCCAGAGCCAAAATGTAGTCAAAGTCAACTTTCCCATTATAACTTCCCTATCGATAATTCATCCACGACCAGTGGTTTAACGACTGTGTATATCGATTGTTCCTTTACTGAATTAAAATCTTTTTTAAATAACACACTTTCCTGTTGCATCTCTTCGTAGCTTTGAATAAGGCGTACAGGTTAATAGCTTCGGACAGTTATTCCAGGTATCTCAGGATCTCGGTTCAAGGGTGTTTGAAAGAAGAAACTTTAAATTGAACGCTCCTAAGAATAATATCTAAGATGAAGCCTGATCTGATTGAAACTTGGAATACCTACAGCTTCAAGCAAAATATGACTATCTCCTATCAATTCACCTGAAATATCCAAATTCCCTGGTCACCCGAAGCACCAATTATCCAGAACCCTCGCATGTCCTATCCAAGTAGGAACATCCGTTCCACCGTGTCAAGAGTTTCAGCTCACCCTGTACGTCTCTGGAGAGCGACACAACGAACAATGCGAGTTTCAGAGGATTTGTTGTCGCCAGCATGGTGAGTTACATCGGTCGGATGTACCACGCCTAGGCATATAAACTGGCCCCTTATCCGGAGCGAGAAAAAGGATGTTTTAAGTCGTTCGTTCGCTCGCTCGCTTGTTCGCGGCGCGGACCGAGCGAATCGCGTCGCTTTAAGCAGATTTATAATCCGTGGAGGTGACGCATGCTTCATCGACGGAGATGGAAAGAGGTCCCCTCTATTGTATGCAATGTCACGCGAGCGCGTTATCGTCGGATAGGAAATAATCGCACCGTTCCTCGAAATCCTTAAAGAATTAGTTATTATCATGTATACCTAAGAACTAATTCTGAAACCTCAGGATCGTCTGAGACCTCCTGGTCCTGGTACCTCTGAATTCGAATTCCCAATCGTTGTATCATCGTTAGAAAATATGGATATAATCGAGAAGGATCTTGGAGGTTGAGCGACAGAGGCTGCGCGATGTCGGTAAAACGGATAAAGAAGACGAAAGGAAGGAAAGAGGAGGAACACGAGTGGAAGTCGAGGACGCATCGACACGTCCTGCAACGAGTTTCGAAGCTAATAGTCAGCGAGTAGATCGCGATCCCTCTTCGCGGGCCGACGTCGAATTACTGACCGAACCTCGCGGCATCGCGCATCCGACTGTACTTTAATTGGACGATCGTAATCAGATAATGGCGGAGAATTAATAATTCCGTGGAAGAAGGGCCGGCTGGGGGGAGCAAAAAACAACCACGATGATTTCCGAGAAACACTCCGCGCGTACGCTATCAGTTGTCGGCGATTCTCTAATTCTAGGACCGATCTAACGTTCGATGCAGGGGTTCTCAAGCCTCTCTACCTCGTGGTCCACTCCTAATTATTATTTGTTTGTGTACACATTCACACTACCAACATTTAGTAATTTGTTTTTAATTTAAAAGTTTGATTAATAGCGTCTCATCATAATTTCCTCTTCATATTTAAAAGAAACTCCCTCCAAAATAATCCGTAAACTTCTTCCTCAAAAAAATCAGAACATCAACAAAATCCAGAGCTTTCTAAAGATTCCTGGATCGCCAAGAATGCACAATTCATTACGTACCAAAAATTCTCCATCGCAGATAGCGAGGCACTTAACACGTCGCGCACGACGAGCCATTTATAATCGTAATCGCGGCATTACGCGTTAATCTGTGATAAATCTGCTCGGCCCGCGTACCGAACCGATCCGGGGTACGTCGCGGGGAAATGATCGACGACGTCCCCCTCGTATTTCCTTTTGTCAGAATCGTTTACGGATGATCCGAGCCCGTTCCTCGTCGCCGGCGTTCTTCTCTCTTTGCGTTTACGTTCTTATGGATCATTAAGATCGATCGATGAACATTTTCTGCGTATATTTCACGTCTGGTGTACGATGATACAGCGACAGGCGCGGCAATCCGCGACACACGCGACGCGTTCCACGCAACGATGACGCTCGTACGCGTACGTCAAGTTGGCACGACGGAACGGGAAGATACATGGAAGCCAGGAGATAGCACACGAGAAAAATAGAGAAAACGGACACCGCGGACATGCGTGTACGCGCGACTACAGCGATATCGATGACTCCACGCCCGAGACACGTTTGAAAATTAACGTGACGCTAAAGAGGAAAATATCACTGACGGGGTGATCGATTCCGATTTACACGCGATGGACGAGCGTTCCCTGTTTCAACGTTTTACCCTGACTGGTCTTTAATGGGCGAGGAGAGCGAGGGGAGAGTTACTCGGGATGATCCAATATGTAGGAAGTTATTAATCAGGCCTATCGTGCATTCTTAGAAACTGTTACTTTTTTTGGATTGCATTCCTCTCAGTGTCGTATTATTTTCATCGATACGGACCCGAAAGGTACAATTCGATTATTAAGTTATCATATTTATACAGTTATAAATAGACACGTGCACTTGTTATTAAATATTATAGAATTTAATATTATAGAATTTTCTATGTATACATCACTTTCGTTTTCATATATAGTTAGCGTTCCAGGTTTTCGATTGGAATAATTAATCGTTGGAAATGCGCGTACGAGACGTCTGACGTCTGACGTCTTATACTACTGCCAACGCGCGAGCAGTGATCCCTGTATCGTGCGTCAACCGATGTCCGCGCGCCAGCAGTAGTATAAGTCCCTCGTGTCAGACGCCTCTTAAGCGTATCTTCGATAATTAACCCTTAACCCTTTAGGGTCATCTGGGTTTAAACTGCCCCACCTTTTGCTTAGCTTTACATGCAGGATAATTTTTAACCCACCTCAGTATGCTGAAATTAATATATTGTTTTAAGATTTTCGTTTAATTGCTACGAATTAAAAATATTAAATAAGTGAAAATAGAAAAGTATTTCGATCAAAACTCGTTAGGGAGTTATCGAGCAGAGCCGACAAAATCGAAAACGACTCCCTTTCTTTCTCGGCTCGAAATCCACGAGCGTGCCAAGCGACCCAGATGCGGGACGCCCGCGAAAAAAAAAATAAGATAAAGGAAGGGAAAGAGAGAGCTCACGCAAACGAAGGGGAATTGTCTGGATAATGCGTACGTGCAGGTACTCGAAGCATCGGGGAGAAACGGCTCTCACTTTCACGGAGTCGCCGTGACCGAGATAAAGATGGTGGTACCGCTTTACCATCACCATACGCCGGACTGACCACTAGCGTCTCTGCACCATATATGGCTACCGTGTACACAGCAGCGCGCACGTAACGCGCGCATGAGCGCGTGTGCGTGTCCATCCGAGTGTACGTGCTCCGTCTGGCACAGGTAGCCGTCTCGCATGTCGACAGATCCGAAAGGATCGATAGATCAGTCCTTTAATTACGACCCGTATACTGCTTTACCTGGGACTCGACTCCGAGACTCGCTAGATCCAATCGTGGCGGTGTCCTACTGGCATATGTGTCGCACCGACTATCGCGCCGGCTGTGTTTGATGTTAATCGACCCTCTTCGTCACTCGTTCGCCGATGCCCTAATTGCATATTATTTCCCATCTTCGCGACGGCGCCATTGAAACCTTTGCGTCGTCGACTAGCCGATCCTGAGGAATCTGGAAGTCGAAGAAGAAACTTTGTACTCGAAGTAGGGAACATTCGAGAATCGTAGGTGGGCACTTTTTGGGTCTATTCTTAATGATACATCGGGAGATAATGGGGGCGAAAACGAAAATGGGGTCGAAATGTCGTGGTTGTAGATACTGAGAAATGAAGAATCGAAGAAGGTTATTAATAGAAGATTTAATAATAATAGAAAATATAGATTTGTTGAATAGTAAGCTGGTGGTGCACCAACTTTCAACACAAGAAACCCTTTTAGCAGGAGAAATTTTCAGAGTAGAAAAGAAATTGGCCAAAGTTGACTACGTTATTTCAGAAAGGAGAATTTCGTAATATCTCATCGAGGAGGGTCCTAAGCCACCGACACAAAGAAACGACGCTTAGGGAGCCGAGGTGTGCGGACCGTACAGTTCTCAGACCGTGCCCGAGTCCATATAGAAATCGAAAGTGGATTCTTAAGATTCGCCATACTCGAAACACTGATCATTCCTACGTGGACCTGCTCCCGACCCTATATGGGCTCGTCATGGATCCGCGAATCTATTCTACGCTCCGTGCTTATGATTCATCTTATCCGTGCGAACTTGATCTGATCTCGAACAAAGAAAACTGAGATCATTTTTATATCTAAATCAGGAGGTTGTGTTTGGAATAATGTGTGCTTCGAACACTGGAGTGCTTCTAAGTTTGTTGATTTATATCAATGCGAATGCGAAGCGAATTAGGATATTATATTCATAATATTCCTATTCCTTCAAAGGAGTGGAAAGAAAAATAATATACGTAAATAAAATTTTTCTACCATGTCTTGATTATTCAGCAATTATTATTAGCGATTATTCAGCAAAAATTTATTACGTAATAAATAATTTAACCTAATACGCGTTTACCAATCCAATTTCGTTTTCCATTTTCCCAGTCGTCTTTATTCGCAGTTCTCCTTACCAACGTCAGAGAAATGAAATACCGTCCCAGAATTAAAAACCTGCCGCGGCCATTACTGGAAAGAAACGCACGGTGTATTTTTCAGACGTCGTAAATAAGGATCCGTGGCAAAAATTTGAAACAAACTCGTTTAACCACGTGAAATATTGCCCCGTTGTAGATTCGAGTCTTCGGAGACGTCACCCTATCGAAAGTAGTCGTGTCCGTTCGAGGTCAGACACGGGCGAAAAGAATTAACACTTAAAACGCCCGTTCCCGCGAGTCATTTGTCACACGTCCTCGGTGGACGCTCCAGGGACACCACGACTTTGTATACTCGGAGTTTCCTTTGTTATTAGCCTTTCATTCCCTTCGACGTCGCTGAAATAGATTTCACGGGGAGTCTATCCGATTCTTACCGAGCGTATTCCTTTCTCATATGTAATGGAAATTACAGTCACGTGATTTACGAGCTTCCTTCTTCGTTCACGACTCATTTCGCGTATTGTTTTGCTGGCTTCTTTGCTGTTGGCAATTGGAAACGGGAGAACGAAACTAACGTAGGAATGACTTCAAAGCCAACATTACGGTTGTTGGTAAATCCATCGATCCGAGGAGGATTGTTTAAATTGGACCACTTAGTTAAGTTTCTAAAATTGTAATATTCTTAACAGAGAAAGCTTGAAAGATCAAAATTACGATAGTTGACTTATGAAGTACTCGTAAGTTTAAATGGAATATCATTTAAATTAGACCACCATGGTAATTTTCTTAAATTATCTTCGGAAGACGACTCAAAGCACATAATAAATGTTTTTTAATGCTTAAATAATCACCTCCGATGAATAACAACCTCGTTCGAGTTTACTTTGCCACTCGGCTTATGCTTGGTGGCACAGAAAACTGGATTCTCTGGTACTCAAGCAAGTTGCTACCGAGTTCGAATCAATAACACTGTCCCGATAACGTACATGCAATCTACCAACATTTACAAAGTAAAAGTGACTGTGCAGGCTCAGCGGATGCCAACAGGAGGCTTACGTGTAGCATCTCCAGATCCACTCTAAGCTACTTAATAAAGGATTAAGTGTGCTTAGCTCAACCCAAGCGTAGACAAGTGACACGGGATTAATTCAGTAACAGGTTGCTATTTCCAACTGTCCTTAGTTGACCAAGACATCCTTGCCTCGTTCGTCGATGAAACGAAAGGCAAGGGGTCGACGGAAAAATCGCCGTTGGACGCGAGATTTCAATTTACCAACGCGAACGAACGATCTAAGAAAAATCCGCGACATCGCGCGATTACTCATCCCCCCGGATAGGGTAGTTGCTCGAACTTACACCATATTTAGATGTAAATTAATGAAGGTGAATCACGAATGGAGCGGAGCCTCATCGTTTCGCGCGATATAGCGCTGCATGAATTTGTTTAAGTAATTAATTAGTCTGAATAAGATTTCTTACGTAATTTATCGCTCGCATAACCCATGCATCACGCGCTTCTGAAAAAACCGAGTGAATTAATTTCAGTTAATTAACCGACGTCGTACGCGAACAGTGCGGCAGGGCAGCGTTTTCGTGTTCATTCCCGTTCACCTACATTCAGCGTTGCGAGAGGCTCGCTGCCTCAACGAGAGGGCCGTTCCATTTTTAGTACACGGGTAACATCGCGAAACGCGCGCGTTGCCCGCATTATGCATGAATAGACATTATCCCTCGTTTCCAGCGAAATAAACGAATACGCGGAACCTTGAGCTTGACGCGGATTTATACGGTGCAAAAACCGCGCGAGTTATTAAGCATTATTCCCGAGGATAATTTACCGTGATCGCGGGCTCATCTTAACTTTATTTTCACTCTCATTTATTCCTCTAAGGAGTTCGCTTACGATGTACAATTTTTTCGAAAAGGACTTCGAAGCTGACGATGTGACAAAATAAAAGTCTCGAGAATTGATGATGTTAATGTGATAGCAGATAATAATAAAAATTAAGTGCTATTAGCGGAAATGAAAATTCCAGAATTCTTGTAACAGTTTCCACCGCGAAAACTGGTCTTTATTCATGTGCACAAATAAGAGCATTTAATTTTTAAATGTTGCGTCGTCACTTATGGACGCAAGAACTGAAAGGGTTAAGAATATGGTGCTATAGTTATGCCCATCGTTGTAGTTGCAATCCTTGCGAACCACTAATCGAGCGAGCGACGTCAGATTATTATTGAGCAACCGCACGCCTATCTTTCCGTCTCTAATTTTACCTTCACCCGCGAGTGTATCTATTCATCTCGTTGCACCTGCGCGGACCTCTGTAGATTTTCGTAACCGATCCCGCGGCACGTAGGTTTGCACCCCATGTGAAAAGTCGTTAGCGCCCGAGCCGGTACGCGGCGATCGAACCTGCATGGATCGCGAACCAAAACACTTGACTCGCCCGTTCACACGGTACAAATTCGCGGCAAACAAAACGGGACCGTACTTTCAATATTGCCTTCACCTGCGGTATAACGCCGGGCACGGCACCGCTCACTGACACCATAAACGGTGCTAGGTGTACGTGTCGGTACCGATGCATACCGTTTACCGCGTGATCCTGCCTCGTACCATACGTCTCAATGATCGCTGCGATACGCAAATGCGATGCTGGAAATACGAGTGCTGATGAGCAACTGACACTGTACGCGATACAGAGGCGGTGCACGCTTCTGGATACCTAGGGGTACGTTTGTTATACGGACGTTTAACGAGGATTTCACACGAAGGAATTTTTGGAGGATTTGATCATGCGAGATTGAATTCTGGTGCTTGGTTCTGTGGAGCTTTATCATTCTTGGGAGATGTAATGTACGTTTTTGTGAGAAGAAGAATTTTTATAATATTCTATTTTTAAAAGAAGATGCAACTGTTCGGGGAAATGGACTGAACAGAGTGACTCTGTCTAACTATTCCTCAGATCTTTACTTCAAGAATTCTTTACTCTAACTAAAATAAATCATCGGTTGTCCATCAAGAAACGAACCGAACGGCATCCATATCGAGCCGAACCCGAACCTTCCGCATCGCGAGTCTGGCGACTTTCTACGCGCAGCGCGATCCGACTGCGATCCTCCTCTAAAAAGCTAAGATAAACACGTTAAGGATTAACGCGAGCGTGGCTCGTAAATCCGCACCTTCGAGTTACACGTAATATAATCATGCTTCCACCACGAGTTACCGTACCATCATCCTCTCTAGCGAGCCGCGGAGCGAGCAAACGCGTAACGAACCCACGGACACGAATTAATCGTCGTACGTACGTGAAACCCCACACGGGCGTAAAGGCGTGTGCCCGTGGTTCGCGCCGCGTACCACTGCGTCACGGTGAAAACGAAACCGATATCTCTGCAGGATCTGCGCCGAGGTCAGAGGTCACCCGCGGAGGGAATTGCTTTATTTAATAAGCCGCGGAGGAAGGACGTTAATAAAGCGGCCAGAGATAAATAATATGGAAAGGCGAGCCGTTCACGTGTCGTTCGTTCTACGGCCCCGTTCCCCGGCTCCCTTGGCACCGCCACAGCCGCGCCACGTCCACGAGGCATCGGGTTGAGCAATCGTTCGAGTTCCCCGTGCTGTACACGACTTGGACCGAACGGATAAACGAAACGGGACACTTTTTACGATCTCGGTTGTCCGCGAACACGATTACGGGCACTCGGTTCGAGCTGTCGATAATCATCGGCCACGATGCATAATTCTCGCTGGTTTATAAGGTTACGTTTACGCTGCACTCCGCGGGTAATAAATACCGTGTTTAACACGGTGTAAACCAGGGTTCCGCCGCTACCGTTCGTCGCACGTTTCGTAATCCTCGCGATACGCCTTTCGGAAGTGTTTTACGGATAAGGGTGGGTCTGTGGAGATACTCGCGCTGACGTGTTTGATGCTTTTCGAAAAGGAAGATTTAGATCAGAGAATCACGAATTCCTTCGTCGACCTAGACAAGCGTCCTCCAAACAAGAAAATTCGAGTTCGATGGAGGGTAAAATAGTCGTTAACCCACTGAACTCGTCGCGTGTGCGCGCTATGCAGACC